CACAGGGCATTCTCACCCTAAAGGCTTTTTAGCTCTTTGTAGGGTTTACAACCTCCTGAGAATTAAATGGGTGGAAATATTTATTTGAAGTCTATAGCCCACAGCATGAATTGCAGTGAAAAAGCACACAGCATAGAGAAAGAGACTGGGTCCAACGGTGGCTTTAAACTGGGCTTATGCACCCATGATCCTGGACTGGGCTGGGCCAAGCTGAAGTAGGCCTGGCTTCCAGCATAAGTTAAAGCAACTCAGAACCACTCAGGCAGCCAGTTGCCACAGGGACCCATACCTCAGCCATGCCCCCTTCACTTTACCATGTGCCTTTTGTTGGCCACTGGAAAGGGCCTAGGAGAGTTGGCAAAACTCGTTTAGCACCATGAGGCCAATCATCCTCTTAGCTATACCTGTGTACAGGTTCTCCTCACTTAGCATCATCCTAGTTAACACTGTCTTATTGTTACGTTGCTGATCTATTAGAGAAGAAACTCATTTAAAATCGTACAATGTTCAGTTATAACACTGTTTGGCCGCCGCCTGCTAGTAGGTAACTACCGTGATGTAACTGGGTTTTGCTTAAAGTCATATTTTTCAAGAACATAAGTACGATGTTAAGCGAGGAGTAGCTGTACTCCTCCATGAATGGAGCGGCAGCAGCCCAACACAAGGGAATATAGCTCATTGTATTTAACCTGCATTCACAGCTTTGTTTTTAAAAATAAAATTTCATTTTAACGCAGACATGGTATTGACTTTGAGACGTGAGCTACTTGCAAACACAGCAACTGCTTTTGCACCAAGTTTCCTTCACTTAAGAGATTCAATTTCAGCTGAATTTTGCCTTTTATTGAGTGTCCTCTTGGTTTGTTTTTCACGGAGTTTCCACAAAGAAGCAATGAAACCATAAGGATGAATACAGGGCAGCCCGCTCTGCTGAGGAAGGGAAATGTTTCCCAAGTTTTTTCCCCTCTGCTCTGTGCAAATCCCAAACATGCACAACAGAGCTGTGTAAAGAACTGTAAAACTAATGGGGTTTGCACTCAGTTTTGTTTCTTTATGATGGAGGGAATAAAAGCTTTTTTTAAATATGATCTATTTTTTCCTTGGGGGTGGGGAAGAATGATGCAAAAAGCTTTTCCACAAAAAAAAAAAAAAAACTTTCCCCATCATAAAAGGGCAGACACCCTCCCTTTTCTGTTCACATTTAATGAGTTTCTGCAATGCAGGAGTTCTCTACAGCACAACTGGGCTCTCCTCCTTACCTGAGCACATAGAAAGGAGCACAAGAAGCAGAATGGGAAGATGCTTTCATCATTGCCAGAGTGAAAAAGCTGCTTCACAGTATTTAATTTCACAGCTAACAAAAATCCAATTTTGTATGATGAATGTCCCCAAGAGCTCACCTCTTACTACTCTTTTGCATTTAAGCATTTTAACTAATGCTAAGGTTAAAGTTATTAGACAACCACCAAGTTATTAGATCCAAAGTGCCAGTGTGGAGAAATAAGAAAAGTGATGATTTTT